CATATTAACTGCGATGAAATGCGTATAAAAATTACTGCTTAATGCGTTTTAGCTGCTGGAGCACGACCACGTTTTTTAGGTGGCGTTTTAGGTGAGTGAGTTTCGGCAGCATAAGCAGAAGCGCGTCGCTTCGAAGGAGCAGGCTTATAGGATTCCTCACCAGAACCAGTTGAACCACCGGCATCATTGTCCGACAAATCCATTTCCTCATCGTCATCATCGCTCTCATCTTTGTTCTTTTTTCCTGCAAAAAACAGATTAATAGAGAAGCACAATTTGGGAAACACTGCGAAAATGGCGACTGTCCTCTAAAGGACTTCAAAAAAAATGAAAGGAAGAACTTCATGCATCATTTTGCGCATACTATTAAAATTTTCCAAATCAAATGAAAACAGACCCAAACTTCGAGATGGTCTTCCGCGACCTCTACCTCGTCCTCGGCCCCGTGAACCACTACTTCCAGCGCGTTTCCGCTTTTTGTTGCTACCATATTCAGAATCACTATCTTCACCATCATCACTATCAGCTACAGCTCGTTTACGACCACTAGAACGTCCACCTCGACCACGACCACGGCCCCTTCCACGATTACGATTAACTTTTTGTTGAAGCTGAAACTGTAACAAGCTTGTGATAGTATCAGTGAGAGTGAAATCGCTGAATATTCCCAAAATATTTACTAACTTTAGTTAGTAAAATCTATTTTGTATTTTTGTTAAATCCATTTTATGACCGCACAGTGAAGCAGCCGAAACATCATGAGTTAAAACAATTGCTATCCAGGACTAACAAAAAAGAGTGCCTTACAATAAGAAATTGCGAAGTGTATTTAAGATCATCAGAAATTATCTATAATTTCATAGCACAATACCTCATTTTCCAAGTCTTCCTGCTCAGCAACTACAGTTGCTACATCTGGATGAGCATAATCTACGTTTGAACGTGTCGAACGACGAGGGCGACCAGATGCCAATGATTCTGGTTGCGGTTGTTCGGTAGCAGCCTCCTAAATCTCAATTAGATAAATAAAATTACTGATCCGTAATAAATTTACGATGAGCTACGTGAAAGTCATCCAACAACCCTAGTGAAGATCTGAATTTATAATAAATCACAAACTGTTGATTAAAAAAGGTTCTAAATGCTACCCATCTTCCCCTTCAAGCTGATCTATTTGTTGATAAACTTCACCCTTCTGAAGTGCTAACATACATTATGAGGTTTAGCTACAGTTCTCGTCGTGTCACGCCCTCTCCTACCACGTCCTCGTCCTCGAGCACCGCTAGCTGGTTCGTTTTCAGTGACAGCTAAGGTTATCTCTTTTTCATCTGCCTCTTCTTTTGGACTTGGTGGTGCATCTGCATCCTGCACCATCCATTTTGGCAAAACACGTTTAGCACCACTCTGAAATTCCCATCCCTTCAATTCTCCATGAATGAAACGTATTTCAAATGAGTAAAATTCTTTCAAAATTACATTATGAAACACAATAAATGTAGTCCACTCCAAAAGGAAAATCATTAGTTTTCGAAGTACTACTCACTTCCTCTCTTTTATCAGTGGCATCAATTGTCTTATCTTCTCCTTTGTCTGAAGCATCTGCGTCATCCATCTTTTCTTTTTTCTGTGCTTCGTCTTCTCCTTCCTCAGTATCTGTTTTATCATCATCATCATCATCATCATCACCATCATCATCATCATCATCATCATTATCATCATCAGTCTTAGAACCATCGATATCTTTACCAGAATTATTTTTGATTTCACTCGACCTCTTATTATCGCCTTCTTCCGAATTACTCTTCGTATCCGTATCCATGTGCAATTCATCTGGAGCAGCGCTGCTCTATAAAAACAGTATGTTTCAAAAATAGACCATATTAAACTTGAAAGAAGTAGGAAATGTGAATCGAGGAACCTTTGTTATTTTCTAAGTTGAAAGTTGATTGCCCTTCAAAACCTCAATTAAATGATAATTAGTCACGCCAAGACCTTTTTTATTGATAGTGAAAACCTTATAATCGTTAAAAGCTACAAATGCAAAACTGGAAAGCCATACAAAATACAAGAAAATAAATACACAAAGAAGGACACAGTAAGGAATCACTGTATTGTCTAACTGGGAATGTAATAACTCCTATAGCGCCGTTAAAACAAGCATAGCTTAAACGATAAAAAACTTACTGGTGGAGGAGATGAACCAGCTGAAGCTGCAACGCTGTCATGTTTTTCCGATTCAAGTACTTCACTAGTGTTTTCGCTTGATCCTTCTTTCAGCTGAAACTAATCTTCCGAAACGAAAACGTACTTTATTATTAAGATGTTAAACTACCTTGGAACTTCATATGTGACCACGTAGGAGCGCTTGCTCTATTCACTACGGTTAAGAATACATTTAGCTACAGAAAATACGAAAATTTCACATATATAGTGTATCTTATTTGTTACTTTTATCTATAAGTCGCTCTAGTTTCTACAAATATTGCTTTAAATTAACAAAAATGAACCTCAATTCTTTGATCTTCAGCAGCATCCTTACTTGTTTCTTCATCACGCACATTTTCTGCAGATCCCTCAGTCCTTTGTTCCGAAGAAGCCTGAATTAAATAAGCGAAACATCTCTCATTATACTTTTACTACGGTAACACCATCTGGAAAAAACTGTATAAGAAATTCAAACTAAATTAGAAGTTCCATTAACCTCAGAAATGGCATGAAGACTATCGCCGTGTTCGCTGTTCAAAATTTGGGCAAATCCTCCTTTCTGCTTCTGCTCCATGACTTTTTCACCATTTGTAACCGTGTCAGTTTTAACTGAACTTGCTATAAATGAGAATTGTTGGCTACGCTAATTTTCCATTTACATTTCACAAACCGCTGCATAATTTTTTAAGCCAATCTCCGAGCAGTGTTAAATTTAATTCTTTAATACAAATCTAACAATTGAGTACTGCAAAAAGTACCGTTTGAAAAACCCACAACTTGTGGATCACTACGAGAACGATCTACCGACTTCTCACTATTTCCCGGGAAACTTTCCGACGATTCGGCGTCCATTGACGACATTGAACTTTACAATCACAACCGATTATTTATTTGAACCAAGTCCGCTCGATATTACTAAAACACTAAGTAGATACAAAAATACTTCAAAAACATTCCGCTCAGACACTTTTCAAGCTCTCATTTGTACGACATAACTGAATCGAACAAATTCAGTTAAAATAACTAATTTCGATCGATCATTTTTCTGTGTATTGTAAAGTATTATTAAAGCTTTAGAAAAAGAAGATAAAGATAACACGTGCATATGTAAATATACCAAAATACTAAACTATGACTATACGGAAGAAAATGTAAGGATAAAATAAGATGGATTATTAGTTTGCTTTCCAGTAGCTGTAAGCTCAATGATCCTACTGAAAAGACAAATATAATGTCCCATATTCCATCAAAGTATACAGCTAACAACTTCTAATAACCAGCTAACCTACAACAACCTTTTTTTTTTTTAATGGTCTGCTATTATTAAAAGAATCATGACTGAAAGAAAATCCACAAGTTTTCATCCAAGAAGTTGTCATGTTTATTAAAACAAATTTCCCCGCTTCCAGAAAAAGACGATAAGTGCAAAACTAAATCGAATTTTTGAATGGAAAAGTAAACATCGATAACAAATCAAACAAAAACTTTTTGACGTAATTTAAAAGCAAGTAAGAATCTGAAATCTCAGATCCATTGCTGATATATCAAAATAACTGATAGCTATTTAAAGTGCAGATGCCATCTAAAACAACAATGTGCATAACTGTGGAAGAATCGGTAATAAATGATGATAGTGACGACGATGATAAGACTAGCAACGATAAGGAAAGTATAAAGTTTTCTGTGATAACAGCAATAATAATTAAAACTTCAGTGGAAGAATGAAAAATCGTAGCAATATACCAAAATTTAATTCGACAATTTTCTCAGATGCGGAACTATGCTTAATGAATACTGATCTTATCCCCTCCCCTTCTCCGCTACTTTTTACAGCAATATGACATGAGAAAAACGTTAATTCATGCCGGTAAAGGACAACCTAATTTGAAAATGTTTACATTCTTAAAATTTAAGGAAATAATTAACAAACAATAACAACAAAATTGATTAGTTAAATCATACTTCAAACACAACATGCCTTAAAAAGCTGTCAACCGATTTTAAACACTGAAAAATAAAATAAAGAATGGCTTGTTACGACAAAAATATTTGCGGAATATTGAAGACATAAAGGAGAAATAAAAATAATAAAGCTGAAAAGTTAATTACGACGATAGTACCACACTTTGAAAAAGACGAAAAAAACAAGATAGATTAAAACTTCAGAATCGAACAACATTATTATCATTTCTGAAAAATTGAAAGTTCAACAGAACCCTAAGAACGAAAAATCCCGTACACATTAGTGAAAAGTGCAAATTTGTTGTCAACAATTGTTTAAACAAACCACTGCCAATAAGAAGGTGAAAGGGAGCGAGAGAAGTAAACACATTAAGAATTATATGGTAACAATGAAAACAAGGGACCTTCTCAAAACAGCATTAACAACGAAGTGAAAATGCTTATGCAATAAAATCTGACCCGCAAATCATTACCCTTTCCTCTCCAAGTTTATTTTCTTGTTGCCATCTTAATTTATAACTTTGCTTTCTTCAAAACTTATTCTACAACAGTTACATTTACTCTTTAAGGATCCTAAAATTCAGAAGGATTACTAATCTTAATAGCCTAAGCATGCCGTATGTAATCCACACAACACATTCACCATAACCTAATCATATGATAAAGCTGACAGACCACTTTACTACCACTCAAAGGTCAAAGAATAACTGCAACTGCCAATCGAACGCCACAACGGTGCGAATGCTTACGTAAGAGTGAATTAATATCTACGGGAAATAGTGAATTAACAAACAATTCAACAACACTGCAAATAATCAAAAACGGTCCATCAGATGTACAGTTTTGGTTGCATCCTCCAACATTTTCTAGAAGAGCAACAACATTTAACTTCACGGTTACCGCCCCGAAAAGAACCGACAAAACCGCAACCTCTGCCCTCCACTGGAAATATCCCTCCCTCCACACGTCTCTCCCAGCTGCTTATCGGCTCATTTCACATGCATTATTCGATTGCGAAATGCATCGCACATCACAGCGATACTCCGACCGCACTACATACGCTCGTCAGCCATTCCAAAAGAGACACTGAAAAGCAGCGCGAATTTGAACGTTCCTGAAATTAGGTAACTGTGACTTCGTTTACGACACGTGTTGGGTTGATTAACTGTATAAGTGATTTTTCGCACTATTTCATTCGATCGTAATAATTTACGTGCGGTAATGCCACCAGTGTCGCTGTCGTTCAAGCGCTTACAACAACGCTTGCGAAGATCTCTTTGTTATGGGAGTCGTCAAATGAAGTCGTTGCCGCTTCCACTTTCCGGTAGGATAATCAACTTGAAATTTCACTTCAGTCGGATTTTCAAGTACGCTATGCTAATGAGTTACTCTCATCTTTAATAGCAAAATTATTGTAAGATCAAAATTGAAGATGGCTTGAGCGGGATTATAGGATGGAAATTTCAAAGCTTGGTAATTCTTTGAAATCATTTCAATATTGAATTGTACTGAATGACTAGTTTTCACCTGTTCCAAAATGTTTTAGAACTTGCAATGGACTATTTCGATAGGCATTGTCCATATGACTACATGAGCATGGATTCAGCAACCTCTTTATCACGGTATGCATTTACTGTGAATTTTGTCTAAAGTTTGTTGTGAATTAATTTAGAATTTTACTTTATTTCATAAAACTTTGTTAGAAGCAAAAAATTGCTACACTGAACTGAACTCAATTTATTATTTATTATGCCAATTTATATATATTACAAGCGTCCACACATCCATGACTGCCGAGAAGAGATTATTCAGAGAAACTGCTCTAGTCAATTGAATGCTATATTATCAGGATCTTTTCTTCTTTTCTTACAGGCAATAAATTTATTTCTTTTAAATTTCGAATTTATAAGAGTTTATCCGCAGTCATGGATGTGTGGACGCTTGTACATTTTTAATAGCAATGGTTTATCTTGATCGTATACGAACTGCTGATAAAACTTGTTTTGAATCTTCTGACCCGGACGAATTATATCTTTCAGCTCTTATAATTTCAAGCAAATATCTTCATGTGAGTTTTGTTTATAATCTTTGTCCTTTTTTCATTCCTTTCGCATCACGAATTTTTATTTTATATGTGTCTCAAATTAGTGATGAAACTATATCAAAATGTTTTACTATAAAAAGCATTTGTTGACACGTTGACTTCATCCGCTAGGTTAAAATCGACTTACTATTAGCATTCTTTGCATATATAATACATGAATTTGTTTAATTTGTTTAGCAATGATAGCTTTTTAGGATGTAGGACAACGGGAATTCGTTTACAATGACGAGTGGGCTGCATTAGCCAGTATCTCTTTGAAACGAGTCAATGAAATGGAGCTGAGCGTTCTAGATGCTATTGTATGTTTTTCTGCAGTTATAGTATTTTGTTAAGAGCTTTTTCTTTTTCTGATTCGCACTTATAATTGCATATTTTTGGTATTCTTAGGGAGTAGCTTTTCAGAAATTTTGTGAAGTTTTCCAAGTTGTTTCTCAATCTGTTAGTTTGAAGAGCATCTACGACAAGTGTAGTATTTACAACTTTTGAAACTATCTAAATTTTCACGAAAGGAAATTCAAGTCAATTTTCGGGTTTAGTGATTATTAAATTTCGATACTGATGGAATTTTTTTTTTTGTGTTTCTCATTTTTCAGCATTGGAACACCAATGTAAGTTATGTTGAATTTGTACGGATGTTAGAAGAAGTGGAAGTATGGGTAGCAAAGGATAGCCTAGAAAAACGCGGGTTTTGTACTTATAATGAAATAGCTATACTTCTGTCGAAGGCAAGTATCATATCTGATTGCGTTAAGCTCTTAATGTTATCACTTGCTGCATTTACTTTTGTTTATTCTACTGCGATTATTTCACTTCTTATATTTCCTCATATTGCGATATCAACAAGCATTCAACGTGAGTTTGACGGATTTCATTGTTTTTAGACTTCACTGAGTCATATCTTGCTGAGGTTTTCTCTGAATTCGTTTTTTTGTGGCCATTTGTTTTGAAAACATTTTAAGACTCTGAAATTTGATAATTGAAGTAAACAGAAGAACAGAGCTAGGAACGATGTCACAAATTTGAATTTATTTTTCATGTTCGTCAAGGAATTACCAAACATTACATAATTTCAGACAACTTGGTAAAAAACGATAGATATATATTGTCTGCCAGCCCCACTGTTGATAACGTGACGCAACAAAAGATAGTTACTTTTTCTCTTATACCTAATAATTTTTACGGCTGGTACATATCCCATGTTCATCGTGTTTTTTGCTCCTTGTTAATGTCAAATATTGCTATTAAATATAATATGCTCTTTAATCGAACTACTTTTTGGGAAGACGCTTTATCAGTATACGGTTTACACAGCTGAAAGATGTATCTTTTCATCAGAATTTATTTGTTGTAAAATTTATTTTTTATTATTTTTTTTTATTAATTACAAATTCAGCTCAGGCTTTTATCATTTTTCTTCGTTCTTTCGTTTCTTTTAACCAATATTTTTGCTACTATCGGTAAAAGTGATACTTGAAAGATGTTTCATACATTTCGTATATTTTAAACGTCTTTCCTGTAATTTACTTCAATTGCTGCTCAACAATCTGTAAGATCATACGATTAAGCTGTATACATATCGAGCATACTATTATAATAAAAACTGCAATTTTATAACATATGTGTTGAGACTTTTTTGATTAAGAAGGGAAATTGTTCATTCACTTGAACATACGAACCATTTGAAGAATGAGTTTGAAAGATAGGAATATTCTTTTGATCCTTTTTTCTTCCCCGGTAAAGTCACTCTCTGATGCTCATAAAGTATTCTGGCATGCAAGAAGTCGAAAAGATTATGAAAGAAGTGAAAAGAATTTTCTAAACCTGAAGTATTTTATTTTCCACTCTCACAGAATTTATAAGAACATGAAATCATTTTATGCAGCTCAGAAATGCATCCCTTTGCAGATTAATACTTGGCCTACTGACCTTTAATGTTAAATCTCAAGGACTGAGGGAAATAGATTAAAATGAAAGGCGGAGAAGGGAAACGACATTTGTCCTAGATTGTCGATTCTTGAAGAAACAAAACTATAACCACATATGAAATTGTTTTGGCTGCTATTGTACTAATCGCTGTGTCTGTACAATGAGAGTTTGTGTAATTGGCACGGGAGCAAGCGGATTGCCTGCCATCAAAGAATGTCGCACAGTTGGCTTGGATGTGATAGCCTATGAACGCACTAATGATATTGGAGGCTTGTGGAATTATCGACCTGAGTTAATAGTAAGTTGATCTTAGCTTCTCAACTTCATTTCATTTTGGAACTTAAGAATTAGAAAACAGGAAGAAAGCATCAAGTACGACGTTTAATTCTTAAAATTTTCCAGTAGTCTACCAATTTTTCATCATTTCGTGTCAAGGCCAATGGGACAATTAGGGAAGCAATCCTAGATAAAAGTTATTACTAAAATTGTCATTGTAATCTTCAGTAACATAAAGTGATGTTCACTTCATTTCAATTACATCAATTATTTCCCAAAATTTTTTGGGAAAGCTTTATGAATTCCTTGGTATTTTTGTTGCCAGATTTTTTATCTTGGAGAACTCATATCAGTAAAATGGATTGTAGGAAGAAAAGAAAGAAATATATAATAAAGCAAGCTAGAAGGCAGCACAAATATTTACTTTATCTTCCAGAAATGTTAAAATGGGGAAGAAAAAATAAAAGTGTTCTTCCACATTCTCACTTGTCACTTTGTTCATCAGTAAAGATATAGTTTCTCATAGAATTAACATCTTAGCAGAATAAGTAGAATTATAAAACGAAAAAGAAAAACGAAAAAATATAACAAAGCAAAAGACATTGTAAAGCTGATGGAAACGAAAAAGAAGGATTTTAAAAAAATGAGAGATGAACTTAATATAAACAAATTTAAATTTCGAACATAAATTCAGGAGGGAGGTACAGTGATGAAGTCGACAGTAATGAATACATCGAAAGAAATGACAGCCTACTCTGACTTTCCACCACCGTCTAATTTTTGCAATTTTATGCATCATTCAAAAGTTTTTGAGTATTTGAAAGATTATGCTAAAGTGAATAAGTTATACCAACACATTTGTTTTAATACCACAGTCCAGCAGGTAATTCTTGTGTTATTTAATAATAGCACTAAATAACAGCTTCGTTGAATTAATTTAGATCATTTAAATTTATATTAGGAAAATTCAAATATCTTCAAATGTCGGAATTTCTTCAAATTCATATATTAAACGAACATATCATGCTTAAATTTGAGCTTTTATTTTGAATAAAAAGATTACATTACATTAAGTTATAAATTTTATTGGGTTTTCATTTTTTAGGTTTCATGAACGGATAATTTTAGGATGGACTTTTTTTAGGTTTCACGGAAGGATAATTTTTGGGAAGTAAAGACAAATAACGGTGATAAGAAGCTATTTGATTATGTAATGATATGCACCGGACATCACAGTCTTCCGCAGTATCCTCAGATACCTGGTACATCTTCATTATTTCGATAAAATCTTAGTTTGAGAAATATTTAAATGTTTTTGTGGATTTGTTGAAAAATCTTTTAGTGCTTGTTTAACTAAGACATTTAGCATTTTCATGATATTTTCAATGTTTTTTTTTTACATTTAATAGAACTTTCTTGGTTGCTACCACTACTTATTTGAAAAAGTTATCTGACTCGCTCAGTTCGATTTAGGAAGTGAGAAATTTAAAGGACGCATCCTTCACTCTCATAAATATCGTGATTACCAAGGATTTGAAGAAAAAAATATTTTTATCGTTGGAATTGGTAATTCAGCTCTTGACATTGCTGCAGAATTATCTGGAGTTGCTAAGACGGTTAGTTTTATTGCCAATAATAAGATATTAATTGCAGTTTCTTCAAATTAATGATTATTCAAAATTTTCGTATATGAAGAGTGATTGAATATTTATGAGAGCCAGTTTCTGAATCACGATTAAGACTGATAGATACTGCTTGGAACATTCCCTAGCGACTCATTAATTATCTATTTATTATCTAACACTAATTATT